TTCATTATTAGAAGTAACTCATAGACAAAACAAGGAAATGAATATATGGGTATAATTATTTGATCAATCTAACTGTCTTTAATCTTCACCAAACGAAATTTGGTTGTCACTTTAAACTTTAACTGTCAAAATGGTTGATGCGTGTACGTAGTTAATACTTACTTTTGTTAAATAAATAACAATGTTACAAAATTTAGTAAAACTAAAGTATTCTCTTCCGATATATTCCTATAAAAGTTAGTTTTGTATGGTAACGTCAAATATAATAATTGTGTCTAGAAAACGTACAAATCAATTTGGTATTAAAATTCGTGATTTTGAATAGCACTCCAATCCTAATTTGACAAACATCGTAAAATAGACTACGAGTTAAAGCAAATATGGATTTTAGTTGTTGTAGAGTCAATATGAACAGGGAATCCCTCAGGCCCATAAAACTTCTTACAAAGAATTTGTATTATATTGAAGAATTATTAATTCTATAAACCGACAACATTGACAATGAACGAATAACACCGATGTCACTGTTGGTAACAGAATGTTATTGATTATGTTGTGTGTGTACCTTAAAAAATATTATCAATATTTAAAAGTGATACGATTCAGATGCAAATACTTTATACATTTAACTATCGTGTCATTTTTCGTGACACAAAATTCCTTTAAACCTCCTGTGAATTAGCGATGAAAAAGTTGCAGTGCCTTCGAAAAAATTTAAGGCAAGATATTATTCAAAATTGGTTGGAAGTTCATTAAAAATACTACCGTTGACGATTCATAAAATAAAGAATCAAATTAAGAACAGAACATAGTTTGTACCATTATATGTTAATATCAGAGATTTTAATTCTCTTTTCACATTTTCTTTAAGTGATAACTGTTTAGGCGCGTTGGGCATTTTTTGAGATGGGAAAAAGCAATTGAACTTGCGGCACTGTTACCGACACCTCTGTGTGTAAGTATATAAGTTTTCACTTCTGTCGGCACTCCCGGAGTGGCACTGTTTTTTATTTTTACGGTATTTTATTATTTATTTATTGTTACGGTATAGCAGGATAAACGAGCAGACGGGTCACCTGATGGTAAGTAACTACCACCAGCCAATGCACCTGCAACTCAGAGTTACAAGTGTATTGAAGTCCTTTGAGTCTTTCCCCCAGAATCAGGTGGTTTGGGGTCTGGCAACCTCACTTACTCGTACCGTAGCGGTTATCTTTGAGGCCGTGGTATAAACCCGGTCGAGTCTTACCATTTTTGCCGAAGCATGTCTCGCCCACGGTTTGTGATGAGAAGTAGTTGAATAGATGTTTAATGGTAGTGGGTTGAGGATTGAAATTTGCTTCATTTAAATCGATTTCCCTAATCAAGGAATAGTTGAATAGATGTTTAATGGTGGTAGGTTGATGATTGAAATTTGCTACATATAAATCGATTCCCCAAATCAATAGTTTTTAATAGAATATTAAGGATACAAAGACGATATAAATCACCAATTCTATTTTCAAGTGGCTCTAATCGACTCTTAAGCATCAGTTATATTCAGCTCAAAAAGAAATCAACTCGAAAATAAGATGTATAGTAGGAAACTTATACTTAAACCTATATTTGATAAAAAAAGATGACGAAAAAAGTTAGTGGTGACTGGATAATAACTCAAAAAAATTCATAGACTCCATGTAGTGCTGAAGAATCTTTTACAAAAACCTTAAACCTTACGAAAAACTTAGTTATTGAATCTTTCATTGCGAATATTCATATTGCGTAATACATTAAACACGAGACGCAACGGAAAGAAACGGTGACTCATCACGAAAAATATAAACTGTGTATATGAAGTTTTTTTTTATGTTAGAGGGGCAGACGAGCAGACGGGTCACCTGATGGAAAGTGACCATGCCGCCCATGAACGCCTGCAACTCAGGAGTCACAAACGCGTAAACAGTGGCTGTACGGTGTAGTGTGGTTTAAGTGGTCACCACCCAGCTTCCTACTGCGCACAGTGTTGTGGGTTCCCCACGTGGGACAACACATTGTGTGATCCATAAATTGTTGTTCTGAGTCTGGGTGGTTTTTGTGTCCGTTTCATGAATGTTTGTAAAGTTCAGACATAGTATATATTGTCAGTGTGGGTGATGTCTTTATAAAACAAGAAGACCAGATGCAACGATATAGTAGCTGAGGACACAATACCGGATTATGATCTCTGTCATAATTTCTCTACAAACTGTTGAATTAGGGTACTGATTAATAAATAATAGTTTGATCATAAACTAGGCAAAGCCTGTGCTATAATAAACAGACTGCTGATAAATACATATAGTATAATAGTGAAATATGATCGTGGTCATCACATAAATATTTGTCCTGGGTGAATATCGAACTCCGGCTAGCAGTCAGGGTCAGTAAACAATAGACCTATCTATCCTTTAAATATAATGTTTAAAAGTAAATTACTTTATTTGTTTATCTTTTTAATGCATCTAACATTAACATGTGTACGAGAGTGTTACGTAAGGAATAGAATAAATATCACAGTACTACGTTAACTTTAGAAACCTTTAGCAACTTACTGTATCTAGACAGAAAAACACAACTTAATTATGAGTGTAACAATTAAAATGTATTGTTTATTTCCAATTTGAATTTAACTAGTCGTTACAGTATTTTGTCTAGGCACTCAGGCATTGTGAATAAATGAGACATAAAAAAAATTGACGACTTAAATTGTTATTCAGCTTGATTTACCAATAATTACTGACACATATTGGCCTAGACCTTTCATCTTGCGAACCACAAGGCTTTTTTTGCCCTCATTATGAATCAAAATCTGTTGAGAATACCCATAGTATCAGGCTAGACCTAGGATAGGAATTCACATTGAGTGATTTGAATTTAATAAAAAAGTCAAATGGTACTTGGTTCTTCGCTTTTCTGAAACATTTCTTAAAAGAGGAACGGATTCTTATGCGAAACTCAAAGGTTATATGTCAATAAAACAGACTGCTATATCAGATATTGGTATTATACATAGTACTGTATGTAAAACAAATATGGATACCATAATTGATTAACAACATACTCAAATATGGTAGCCATAGATACCAATACTATCCACTGCTGGACATAAGCCTCTCCTTTCTAAGGAGAGGCTTATGTCCAGCAGTGGACTATTAAAGGCTATTAATTTGAAATAACATTATCTATTTTATTATTCTTTGCTGAGAGCAATGTTTTTTTTTTACTTTGTTTATATTTAATAATTTACAATTACTTAGTTTGATATAATAACTTTACGAAAGTATGGGTATACGTGTAATCAATAGTACCACGCATATAGTACAAAATAAAGAGACAGGTTGGTAAAAGAACGTAATTATTAAACATTTCTGTAAGTTTTTGATTAATTCAATGAAAGACAATAAAGATTACCTTAACTATTTACAGGTAATGACACATGTCTTTAAACTCCCTAATCTTGGTTTTTTTTCTGATAAAAGGCGTGAAATATTATATTGTCTATTAAATATACCGAACCTAGATCGGTTATAAGAATGTATAACTAACCTGTCCTATAGAAATATAGGCTTTGTTGTTTTTTAAATGTCACAATCTTCGAATATTGCAAGGAACACAATTAAAAAATTATCGGGACTTGGTGCAAGAATGAAAGTTTTTATTAAATCGTAAATGAGCCCTGTATGAGTGGATTGAGACACGTGTAGTGGCTACGGTTTGGTGACCTCTTTAAAGAAACTGTTGAAATGGATTTATTTGTATAATTACAGATGAATTTGATACCTCGACTAACTATCTGATGATCTAGAACTAACAAAGACGGCACGATTAATATTTGTCGGGCATATCCAGTATGGTGGTCCGTGTGGTGACGGATTAAGAATACAGAGTGTCACCACCCCTATTCATCCCGTGGGTGTCGCAAGAGCCGACTAAGGGAAAAAACTACGCAGAACAACAGCACTGCAGAGAGAAGGAAAACTTGAAACAAACCCTATACCAACCCGTCTGGCCAGCGTGGTATAGTAGGCCAACACCTCCTTTCTAAGGAGAGGCCTATGTCCAGCAGTGGACTATTAAAGTCTGTTGATGATATCCCGTATATCCTTATTGAGATAGACTTATAATTACTTATTATTACCCCCAGACTTATAATTTCCAATTGTTCTCGTTTTACAAACAGTACCACCGATCAACCTACAAACCAGCCCAGGCCATCAAAAAGTGGTGCTTAATTCCCACTAAGCCACATTTGATCTTTGCTCGGCATAAAAATCGGTCTAATACCACAGTGATGACAGACCATTGTTAATATCGCCATGGTGACAATCTCTTAAAGGTCAAAAATGACAAAAAAAATCTTTGGGATTTACCCAAGAGGTCTACAAAGATAGAAAGTTGCGTGACTGAGACAGTGCTAGGAGTTTTACATAACCCTTCTACCAGGCTAGTTCATGTTGTGGTAAAAACGTGGTGTCGTACTAGACATACGCGCCTGTTCAGTGTTCCTCTGCACCGCACCAATTATGCTAAGAATTCTGTTCTCACTCGTTTGCCTAGCTGTTACAATATTAATTTTGACGAGATCGACATCTTCCACCTCTCAAAAAGTGCCTTTAAAAGACAAATAACTAAAAAGTTGCAATCATACTTGTGAGTCCAAATTAAGATTGTTTTTGTAAGTTGCTTTCTTTATGAATACTTCTCACTCTGCACAATATACCTAATATAAATTAAATTATAGATAGTATATAATACGTACAATTGCCTATGTTTAAGTGGTGCACGCAATTTTCTTTTACTTGTCGCGAAACTTTATTATTGGCTAAGAGTCTAAAAAATGTTTAACTTCACCCATGATATATGTAACATAGCTGTTAAGTTTCCAAATAAATAAATAAATAAAAAAAAAGTGATATTAAATGTAATTTATTGTGTTAAAGTCAAATTCAGTTAAATTCAGTGTCGTTCGCCAATACTTCTTCCTACTTGCCGTCACGGAGCCCTGCAAATAGAAAAACAAAATTACGTTACCTTTAAAATATCATAACTTAAATAATTTATAATGTATAATGCTACAAACATTTAGTTAAACAAGCCAAAAGAAATACATAGATACACAAAACAAAACTATTAAATTTTCGTCAAGAAGGCTTTCAATTACAGAGCGACTTAGTTTCATAGAAAATTGTAGTTATAAAATAATAGTGGTGTTTATTAGTGCTTTGCTATTGAAACAAGAAGGATTCAAATGACGTTGTGCTCCGCCACAATGCCAACAATACCACATAAACATCTTATTTCACAGATAATATTTAAAGATTCAAAATGAAACCCTAAACATTCTATGCAAGATTACTGTTTTTCTGTGTACTTAGAACATGGACAATATGCTTACATTCCCGTGGAACTCCCGTAGCTTGAGGTATATTCGGCAAGCGTTCGGGCAAAATTACTGTAAAGAAAAATAAAAGAAGTTTTATGTAAATAATCGGATGTAATCAGCATGTTCAGGCTTAGTATACTCTGGTTGATCAATCGGTAAAAAGTAAGTGTGAAATCAAAAACAAAAGACCTTGATTATTACCACATACGCCAAAGAAACTGTAATTTAGTGTGCTTTTATTGTGAAGTCAGTATGAAAATGCAATAGTAACGGAAATTGTTTCTTAATAAAATACAATATATAAATAGCTAAATTTTATCATCATCATCACATCAACCGCCTTTAATAGCCCACTGTTGGACATAGGCCCCTCCTTAGAAAGGAGGTTTTGGTCTACCACGCTGGCCAGACGAGTTGGTATAGGTTTGTGTCAAGTTTTCTTTCTTTTTGCAGTGCTGGTGTCCTGCGTTGTTTTGATTTTTTTGATTTGAATTGAAATTTATAATATTAATAATATATTATACTCACCAGGACGTTGTAAACCACCTGAAACAATTGAAATAAAAGTTCAAAAGTTTAGAGAAAGTAGGAACCTAGGTAAAGGATTTCATGGATAGAACTGGATGATTAACAGCATTGATTCATTGTTGTTTGAGTTAGAGCCTCTGTGAATTTAATCTCTATTTCTGAAAAAAAGAAACTATTTTCAGAGGTACAAGTTTGTAATACCCCTCTGAAAATAGTTTCTAAGCTTAAGTCATTTATTTAGATTAAAAGCAGACAGATACCTTTTGACTAGTGTGTCTTAGTATTAACATCGCAGTTATGTAGCTAATTCCGCAAAGCGTCCAGCAAAAACCGTGGATCGCAGCTTGACAGATATGATCACCTCACTTGGGCTAGTATCCTCCTCATACATTGGAGTAACATAACATCTATTCGTCCAAACCGGTACCTAGGCCAGGTATATTAAACTTCATTCCGGTACTGGCTAATTCTGGACTAATTGTTGCATTAGGCAATACCCGTAGAAGATAAATAATTACAACCAATACTGACTGACAAAAGGAATCTATTAATAAATATGTAAAAAGTAGTTCATAATTAAACCTACCTCCATTGTTGTTAGTGACAAGTACTGAAACAATAGAAAATACAGGTATAGTTAATTAAATATTATGTATTAGGAAATAATGCCGTCGCTTCCTTCTGCGAACATATGATGTCCGCAAAGGAAGCGGCAGGGCGGGAGAGAGAACGCGTGTGCGTTGCCCCAGAGGAAAATGTTCGAATTTCATTATTTGAGTTTAACAGATATGTTGTGTATGACGTCGTGTAATTGTGTATGGTGAGTAAAAATTTGTGCATCCAATCATTGGGGAGTTATTCACCAAAAACTGTTGCCGCGACAACGTTGTCCCAGCGGCACTTTTTTATTTTTTGGGCGTTGAAGAAAAAAAAATGATATCAAAAATTAGTGGATGATGTGTTGTGTATCTCTAAAATTTATAAATGACAACTTACCTCGATCAGGGCGGGTGTTGCCATATCCTGAAAAATACGTAAAAGCAGTTTTTATTTAAAAGCGTCATACTTTTTTATTACCAAACTCAGTCATTCCCGAAGTTTATAGATATTAGTATATATCAAACAGAAATCGTACTGTAAGGTTCTCTTGAGGACACAAGGATGAGTTAACGTTCATTTAAACGCATTCTTACTCAGAACATATGAAATTAAGACAGAAAAATAAACATTTGCTGGCGTCATGAAAGAAAAGGAATCTATTAATAAATATGTAAAAAGTAGGTCCGTGTGGTGACGGATTCAGAATACAGAGTGTCACCACCCCTATTCATCCCGTGGGTGTCGCAAGAGCCGACTAAGGGAAAAAACTACGCAGAACAACAGCACTGCAGAGAGAAGGAAAACTTGAAACAAACCCTTTTTTTTTTTTTTTTTTTTTTTTTTTTTTTTAACGTGTGGAAATCCCCTCGGACCGTCACCCCTCCGGGGTTTGCGGCGGGGTGGTGTGTCGGACTCGGACCGACTAAAACCACACGGTGTGCCACTCTGCGCCTGTAACAGGAGGGATCCGGGAACAGCTGTTGTTAAGACATCCGGACCCCTCCTAGCGCCAGCCCGCTCCTGGTGCGGGCTCCGTCTCAGTGTTGTTCCTCTCTATAGGCGACGTCCGGCACACGCGGACGCCGCCCCCTCGCGGCTGGCCAACTAATGCGGGTGGAGGGGAAACCCACCCCGTCCACCCGCGGCCACACTCAGGGCGGCATGAGGCTGTGGTAGGCGGGCCTCCGCCGCCCGGTTCGCCGGCGGCGGATCGGGTCCGAGTGGAGGTCGTCCTCCCGGGCCCTCTCCGCCGCCTCCTTCCGCGAGATTACTACCTCGCAGAAGGTTGCGACCGCGGTAAAACAACTGTCGCTACCGGCCATGGAGCGTACTACGGCCGGTAGCGAGAGATCCACTCCGATGACTGCAGTGAGGGCCCGGCGCTGCGCCGCCCATGCGGGGCAGACCGCCAGCGTGTGCTGGGCCGAGTCCTCACTGCAGTCGCAGTGGTGGCAGGCGGGACTCAGTTCCCTCCTAGCGACCGTGTGCAGGTACTTTCCGAAGCAACCATGCCCGGAAAGCACCTGCGTCAGCCGGAAGGAAAGGGTCCCGTGCTGCCGCCCTGCCCACTCGGCGATGACCGGCTGGAGAGCCTCCACGGCGGCAAAGCCAGCGCGTGGAGTCTCCAGCCGGAACGACCAACGAGCCATCGTGGCTCGGCGAGCGGCTTCGCGCCACTCGCGCACATCCTCGGGCGGAGGGCGAAATCCGCTCTCCGCCCGGAAGTCAGCCACTCGCCGATAAACTTCGGCGAGCACTTCCGCCTCCAAATCCCACGGGGGAGTTCCGGCCAATGCGCATGCCACCTCCGTCGAAACGGTGCGGTAACCGCGTATGGCTCTGACCGCCATTACCCTCTGAGGGCGCCAGAGGCGTACCCTATTCTGGGCGGTCAGAGCCGCCGCCCACACCGGTGCACCGTACAGTGCCATTGACCGGACAACCCCCGTGTACAGCCGTCTTGTCGCGACGCTGGGTCCACCCATATTGGGCAAGAGTCGCCCTAGGGCAGACGCAGCGCCGACCAGCTTTGGAGCAAGCTGTCGGAAGTGCTCGTCGAAGAGCCACCTCCCGTCGAGGATCAGGCCCAGATATTTCATCTGGGCCCGAACCGGTACGAGGACCGAGTTGACCACGATGGAGGCGCCAGGGGGTGGACCACGACGGGGCCCATGGAATAACAGGGCCTCCGTCTTATCTAGGGCCACCCGTAAGCCCAGCGCCTCAATGCGCCCGACCACCAGGGAGACTCCCCCTGTGGCCAGGCGCGCCGCCTCTTGGAAGTTTGCCCCCCGGGCTGTCACGAGGGTATCGTCTGCGTAACAGATTACACCCAGCCCGGGGGGGAAATCGGCGCGAAGGGCCCAGTCGTACCCTATGTTCCACAAGAGGGGTCCAAGAACAGACCCCTGTGGAACACCGCACGACATGGGCCGACACCTCAGATTACCTTCTCGGTCCTCGTACACGACGGTACGCTCCTCTAAATAGTCTGCCACCAGCCGCCTCAGGTACTTTGGCACCCCATGATAGTGGAGTGCTTCCCTGATGCAGCTGAATGGCAGACTATTGAATGCGTTGGCGATGTCCAGTGACACCGCCAACAGCACGCCGCCACAGCTCACGGCCTCTTCGTTCACGGCCCTCAGGCGCAACACGGCGTCGACCGTCGAACGCCCCGCCCGAAAACCAAATTGGGCGTCCGACAGATCGGGGCCCACCTCGCAGAGGTGCCGGACGATGCGGGCAGAAAGAACCCTCTCAAACAATTTGCCCGCCTCGTCCAGCAGCACGATGGGCCTATAGGCCGCGACCGAATCGGCAGGCCGTCCCGGCTTCCTCAATAGGACCAGCTTCCCGCTCTTCCAGCACTCAGGGAAGCGTCCCGACGCCAAGCTAGCGTCGAACACCTCCCCGAGGCGGTCTGCCATGTGGTTGAGGGCCAGGGCCAGCACTCGGGCCGGTACCCCGTCTGGCCCAGGGGCGGTGTTCTTGGAACGGATCCGTAGAACAGCCGCCCCTACCTCCGATTCCCGGACGGGCGGAACATTATCCTCCCCGTGCTCCCCGTCGTCTCCGGCCAAGGAGGCCATCGACGGGGGAGTGTGTTCCGCCCGTTGTGGGAAAAGGCCCTCAACCACTTCTCGCAGGAAGCTGGGCTGGAGAGTCTCCGTAAGGGGAGGGCCCGACGCGCGGAGCTTTTGTCGCACCGCGCGGTAAGGGCGACCCCAGGGGTCACGATTAAGACCCTCCAGCATCTCCTGTCTTTTTTCTTCTTTGGCGCGGCTAATGGCCAGCTTCAGAGTTTTCCGCGCCCGTCGGTACTCCTCATGAAGCCGGTCCTCCTCACCGTCTCCACGGTGACGCCGCCGACTGCGCGTGTAGGACCTCCGGGCACGTGTACAGGCCGCACGGAGGTCCGCCAGCTCCTGGGACCACCAGTAGACCTCCTTCCTTGGAGGCCGACGACCTCGAACGCGGGGCATGGCCGCATCGCATACATGCGTAATCGCATCGCGAAAGCGGCCAGCCCCCACGTCGACCTCCTCGGTCGGAGCCTGAGGAGACAGCCACGAGTGAATTATGGCTGCCTCCTCTAGTAGGTCCCGGTTCAGCCTGGCAACAGCCCACCGCGGAAAGCGGGATAAACGCCGCCTCAAACCCTATACCAACCCGTCTGGCCAGCGTGGTATAGTAGGCCAACACCTCCTTTCTAAGGAGAGGCCTATGTCGAGCAGTGGACTATTAAAGGCTGTTGATGATGATGATGAGTTAATAATAAAACCTACCTCCATTGTTGTAAGCGACAAGTACTGAAACAATAAAGACAGGTATAGTTAATTAAATATTATGAATTATAAAATAATGCCGTCGCTTCCTTTTGCGAACATATGATGACCGCAAAGGAAGAGGCGGGACGGGATAGAGAACGCTCCACCGCTGTCTCTACCCGCAGAAGGAGCAACGAGCGCCGGATGGCATTAGGGGTAAGGAGAGGAACACCGGGGTGGTTTTTAGGCGGTAACAGTCCGACAGACCCCTTCGCCATCCCCATGGGCGAAGGACATCCATGAGGATCTTCCACCCAAAATAAAATAAACTTATTTTCAAAAGTAAAAGAAGTTAGTATAATAATTTTAACGTAATCAGCGTTATTGTCTACGATTAAATAATAAAACTATTAATCCTTTTTACAAAAAAAATGTTGAACCAACTTTAAACTGACTAACAAAAAACTGAGGTTTTTGGTACTTTTTTGGTAGTATTAAAAAGTAGTAAGGAGATAAACCCGAACATACAAAATTTAAAAAAAAATGTGATATTTGTGTAATAAAAGATCAGGAACTACATAATATTTAATAACTACAGCCTTAAACATACTATGGTTCTTATTATATCCATACTTCCATACTTATAAATGTGAAAGTAATCTAGTTTGTTTGTTACACTTTCACGCCCAAACCACTACTCTAAAGCTATGTTAAGAATTCTATTACATATGGAAAGCTCGTTATCAGCGAGTAACATGGGCTCCTTTTTAGAGCCGCGGGCAACAGCTAGTACACAAATATTTTAGACATATTCAAATATAAGGAACAGGAAGAAACAGGAAATGTGTCCATATTATCTATTCGCACCATTGAACATACTCGAAATACGGCACATAATTCAAAAAGAAAACTAAATTTTATAAATAAAAACTATCTAGTACCCAAGACTAGGTCACACGAATTATTTAAATACTTGTAAATGACAACTTACCTCGATCAGGGCGGGTGTTGTCAAATCCTGAAACATACGTAAAAGCAGTTTTTATTTAAAAGCGTCATGCTTTTGTATTACTAAACTGAGTCATTCCCGAAGTATATAGATATTAGTATATATAGGTATATATCAAACAGAAATCGTACTCTAAGGTTCTCTTGAGGACACAAGAATGAGATAACATTCATTTAAACTCATTCTTACTCAGAACATTTGATATTATGAAAAAAAAAAAATTTGCTAACGTCATGAAAGGAAAGGAATCTAATCTCTAATTCTTGCATGAGGCAATACCAGTAGAAGATAAAGAAATACACACTTGTGCTGACTAACAAATGGAATCTATTTAAAAATATATAGAAATTTGTTAATAATAAAACCTACCTCCATTGTTGTTAGCGACAAGTACTGAAACAACAGAACAGGTCACACGAATTATTTAAATATTTAAAAATTACAACTTACCTCGATCAGGGCGGTTGTTGCCATATCCTGAAAAATACGTAAACGCAGTTTTTATTTAAAAGCGTCATGCTTTTGTATTACTAAACTGAGTCATTCCCGAAGTATATAGATATAGATAAAGTATATAGGTATATATCAAACAGAAATCGTACTCTAAGGTTCTCTTGAGGACACAAGGATGAGTTAACATTCAT